TGAGTGAGTGAGTGGGTGAGTGAGTGTGTGGGTGAGTTTGTGAGCGGGTGAGTTGGTGAGTGGGTGAGTGGGTGGGTGAGTGAGTGAGTGGGTGAGTGGTGAGTTGGTGAGCGGTTGAGTGGGTGAGTGGGTGAGTGGGTGAGTGAGTGAGTGAGTGGGTGGGTGAGTGGGTGAGTGGGTGAGTGGGTGGGTGAGTGAGTGAGTGTGTGAGTGAGTGGGTGAGTGAGTGGGTGAGTGAGTGGGTGAGTGAGTGGGTGAGTGAGTGGGTGAGTGAGTGGGTGATTGATTGAGTTGGTGATTTGGTGAATGGGTGAGTGAGTGAGTGGTGAGTGAGTGGTGAGTGAGTAAGTGGGTGGTGAGTGAGTGAGTGGTGAGTGAGTGGTGAGTGAGTGGTGAGTGAGTGGTGAGTGAGTGGTGAGTGAGTGGTGAGTAATGATTTCCGTGTCTCTTTCCAGCCCAGGCTGCTTTGCACGATGCTGGGATCTCTTATTCTGACGTGGAACAAGCATGTGTCTCATATGTGTTCGGTAACTCACTCACCCAATCACTCACCCACTCACTCACCCACTCACTCACCCACTCACTCACCCACTCACTCACCCACTCACTCACCCACTCACTCACTCACCCACTCACCCACTTACTCACCCACTCACTCACTCACTCACCCACCCACTCACCTACTCACTCACCCACTCACTCACCCACTCACCCACTCAATCACTCACTCACCCACTCACTCACCCACTCACTCACCCACTCACTCACCCACTCACTCACCCACTCACTCACCCACTCACCCACTCACCTACTCACTCACCCACTCACTCACTCACCCACTCACCCACTCACTCACCCACTCACCCACTCACTCACTCACTCACCCACTCACTCACTCACCCACTCACTCACCCACTCACCCACCCCTTACTCACCCACTCACCCACTCACCCACCCACTCACCCACTCAATCACTCACTCACCCAATCACCCACCCACTCACTCACCCACTCACTCACTCACCCACTCACTCACTCACCCACTCACTCACTCACCCACTCACTCACTCACCCACTCACTCACTCACCCACTCACTCAATCACCCACTCACCCACCCACTCACCCACTCACCCACCCACTCACTCACTCACCCACTCACTCACTCACCCACTCACTCACCCACTCACCCACCCCTTACTCACCCACTCACCCACTCACCCACCCACTCACCCACTCAATCACTCACTCACCCAATCACCCACCCACTCACTCACCCACTCACTCACTCACCCACTCACTCACTCACCCACTCACTCACTCACCCACTCACCCACTCACTCACTCACCCACTCACTCACTCACCCACTCACTCAATCACCCACTCACCCACCCACTCACCCACTCACCCACCCACTCACTCACTCACTCACCCACTCAATCACTCACTCACCCAATCACCCACCCACTCACTCACCCACTCACTCACTCACCTACTCACTCACCCACTCACTCACTCACCCACTCACTCACCCACTCACTCACTCACTCACCCACTCACTCACCCACTCACTCAATCACCCACTCAATCACCCACTCAATCACCCACTCACCCACTCACTCACTCACCCACTCACTCACTCACCCACTCAATCACTCATTCACCCACTCACTCAATCACCCACTCAATCACCCACTCAATCACCCACTCACTCACCCACTCACTCACTCACCCACTTACCCACTCACCCACTCAATCACTCACTCACCCACTCACTCAATCACCCACCCACTCACTCACCCACTCACTCACTTACCCACCCACTCACCCACCCACTCACCCACTCACCCACCCACTCACCCACTCACCCACTCACTCACCCACCCACTCACCCACCCACTCACCCACCCACTCACCCACTCACCCACCCACTCACCCACCCACTCACCCACTCACTCACTCACTCACCCACTCACCCACTCACTCACCCACTCACTCTCCCACTCACTCACTCACCCACTCACTCAATCACTTACTCACTCACTCTCCCACTCACTCACTCACTCACCCACTCACTCAATCACTTACTCACTCACCCACTTACTCACCCACCCACTTACTCACTCAACCACTCACCCATTCACTCACCCACTCACTCACTCAACCACTCACCCACTCACCCACCCACTCACTCACTCACTCACCCACTCAATCACTCACTCACCCAATCACCCACCCACTCACTCACCCACTCACTCACTCACCTACTCACTCACCCACTCACTCACTCACCCACTCACTCACCCACTCACTCACTCACTCACCCACTCACTCACCCACTCACTCAATCACCCACTCAATCACCCACTCAATCACCCACTCACCCACTCACTCACTCACCCACTCACTCACTCACCCACTCAATCACTCATTCACCCACTCACTCAATCACCCACTCAATCACCCACTCAATCACCCACTCACTCACCCACTCACTCACTCACCCACTTACCCACTCACCCACTCAATCACTCACTCACCCACTCACTCAATCACCCACCCACTCACTCACCCACTCACTCACTTACCCACCCACTCACCCACCCACTCACCCACTCACCCACCCACTCACCCACTCACCCACTCACTCACCCACCCACTCATCCCACCCACTCACCCACCCACTCACCCACTCACCCACCCACTCACCCACCCACTCACCCACTCACTCACTCACTCACCCACTCACCCACTCACTCACCCACTCACTCTCCCACTCACTCACTCACCCACTCACTCAATCACTTACTCACTCACTCTCCCACTCACTCTCCCACTCACTCACTCACTCACCCACTCACTCAATCACTTACTCACTCACCCACTTACTCACCCACCCACTTACTCACTCAACCACTCACCCATTCACTCACCCACTCACTCACTCAACCACTCACCCATTCACTCACCCACTCACTCACTCAACCACTCACCCACTCACTCACTCACTCAAAAACTGTTGTTGTTCTGGTAGTTGTTGTGGTGGTGATGGTAGTTATGGTGGTGGTAGTTGTGGTGGTGGTAGTTGTGGTGGTTGTTGTGGTGGTGATAGTTGTGGTTGTGGTAGTTGTGGTTGTGATAGTTGTGATAGTTGTTGTGGTGGTGGTGATAGTTGTGGTAATTGTTGTTGTGGTGGTTGTTGTTGTGTTTGTTGTTGTTGTGGTTGTTGTTGTGGTTGTTGTTGTGTTTGTTGTTGTTGTGGTTGTGGTGGTTGTGGTAGTTGTTGTGGTAGTTGTTGTGGTGGTGGTGATAGTTGTGGTAGTTGTTGTTGTGGTGGTGGTGGTGATAGTTGTGGTGGTTGTGATGGTTGTGGTATTTGTTGTTGTGGTGGTTGTGGTGGTGATAGTTGTGGTAGTTGTTGTGGTGGTGGTAGTTGTGATGGTTGTGGTAGTTGTTGTTGTGGTGGTGGTGGTGATAGTTGTGGTGGTTGTGATGGTTGTGGTATTTGTTGTTGTGGTGGTTGTGGTGGTGATAGTTGTGGTAGTTGTTGTGGTGGTGATAGTTGTGATGGTTGTGGTAGTTGTTGTTGTGGTGGTGGTGGTGATAGTTGTGGTGGTTGTGATGGTTGTGGTATTTGTTGTTGTGGTGGTTGTGGTGGTGATAGTTGTGGTAGTTGTTGTGGTGGTGGTAGTTGTGATGGTTGTGGTAGTTGTTGTTGTGGTGGTGGTGGTGATAGTTGTGGTGGTTGTGATGGTTGTGGTATTTGTTGTTGTGGTGGTTGTGGTGGTGATAGTTGTGGTAGTTGTTGTGGTGGTGGTAGTTGTGATGGTTGTGGTGGTTGTTGTTGTGTTGGTTGTGGTGGTAGTTGTGATAGTTGTTGTTGTTGTGGTGGTGATAGTTGTGATAGTTGTGGTAGTAGTTGTTGTGGTGGTTGTAGTTGTGATGGTGGTTGTGGTAGTTGTTGTTGTTGTGGTGGTGGTGGTGATAGTTGTGATGGTAGTTGTTGTGGTGGTGGTGGTGGTTGTGGTAGTTGTGGTAGTTGTTGTGGTGGTGGTGGTGATGGTTGTGGTGGTTGTGATAGTTGTGATAGTTGTGATAGTTGTTGTTGTTGTGGTGGTGGTGATAGTTGTGATAGTTGTTGTTGTGGTGGTGGTGGTGGTGGTGATAGTTGTGGTAATTGTTGATGTGATGGTTGTGGTGGTTGTTGTTGTGGTGGTTGTGGTGGTGGTGGTGATAGTTGTGATCGTTGTGGTAGTAGTTGTTGTGGTGGTGATAGTTGTGATGGTTGTGGTGGTAATTGTTGTGGTGGTTGTGGTGGTGGTGATAGTTGTGGTAGTTGTTGTGATGGTAGTTGTGGTGGTAGTTGTGATTGTTGTTGTTGTTGTGGTGGTGATAGTTGTGATAGTTGTGGTAGTAGTTGTTGTGGTGGTTGTAGTTGTGATGGTTGTTGTTGTGGTTGTTGTTGTGTTGGTTGTGCTGCTACAGGCGACTCTACGTGTGGACAAAAGGCCGTGTACCACAGCCTCGGACTCACCGGGATTCCCATCCACAACATCAACAACAATTGTGCCAGCGGGTCAAGTGCACTGTACCTGGCACAACAACTCATCGCTGGAGGTAGCAGCAACT